AGGAACAGAGGGCATAGGGTACCTCAGCCTTATCTGTAGCCACTGTCACTAAATGACATAGAACTTTCCAAAAGAAGCACACATTTTGCTTGTTCTGCTTTTCACCACTCAAGTACTAGAAAAAAATCTTCTTGCTGCCCTTGATCTCCCTTCCAAGTGTCATCTCTAGGTGAGCATTGGGTCTCTTAATATCACCCCTATACACCAGGACAATTTTTCTSAATTTCTCCTTTGTAGCCTGTCCCAGCTGCCACTGTTTGTATATCCCATTTTTGCACTGCAGCTCAGAGGTGAGTTCCCCATAAAGGCAAGATCATCTCTTGATCGGCCTGCTTGTTTTCCTGACTATCAGGATTGACCACTGGCAYCTCAGCTTATTCTCAGTGATATCCCTGCTGGATCCAACAAGCATGAAAACAGAAGCTAYCCACATGAACAAAAGGGTGGAAAAGAGAGGAACCAATAAAATCTGAGTAAAGAAGGAACTGAAGTGTGGTAAAAAGCTGATACAGTGAACACAACCTTGAGTTTGAGATACAGACCAAGTCTGAGACAGGTAGAAAAGGAAAAAAAATTCAGATGAGGGGAACCAGGAAGAAGGAACAGAATGAAGCACAAAACTGAAGGTGGAAAACTACAGAAGACAGAACAGGAGCCAATGGAAATACACAACACAGAGAGAACAGATCCTTTTTATGATAGAGAACTGGATGTGAAACTGAGGATAGAAGACAGAAACCTGAGACCAGCAARCAGGAGTGTGAAAAGCTGGAAAGGATTCAAACAGTGAAAGAAACTGGGATAAACAATTTATCAGTTCGAGCCTCCATGCACAGCAGTTCTGGATCTCAGATAAGAAGCCCTTTAGCGAGAAACAAACTCTTTACTTTGGGAAAATAGGATTGTGATAAAAATTTCAGAATAGGGCAAAGAAGATGCCCTATTTACTTCTAGACACAAAGATATCACACAAGGAATAAGAAAACAAACCAGCATCCAAAAGAACATGCTCACTTCCAGAGCCTGGAATAGAACCCAAGATTCCAGAGTTTCACCTCTACTTTCAAACACTTAAAAATCTCAGAAAACAATACATGGACAATATCATCTGGTCCACAGCTGAATTACAAATTACTAGGATCACACTGTCAGCCAAGCTCAAGTGGCGCAAGTCTCGTGGCAAAATAAACAAATTTCAGCATTTGAAAATGCARTATACATGTTAGTCATATATGTTGTCCCACAGGACAGAGGGTTTCCTCCTGTCCATCAGGCTTGCTGACTTTTTTTTTAAATCTAGAATGTTGAACATTTTGGATATGTGCAAAGAATTTCATGGAGCTTTAAACAGTTGACTATCAAAAACCTAACCCTCAGTTCAAAAGAAAATATATAGTCACATCACAAAAATTAAAGGTTACTTGATCTTGTTCTCTGTGCCCTTGTGCCCAAAGTATTCTTGCTGTGTTACTGAACAAAATTTTAGAAAAAAAAATAAACAACATTGTATTATATAAGGACCTTGCCATATGCACCACAAATGTTGGCAAATGTGTTGTTAACAAGACAGGTATTGCAGGAAAAAAAAAGAGGGAATTAATATTGTCCTGGAAAATTTTATTTTCTTCTTGTTTCTTGCACATAATCTTWAAAMYWAAAAAAAAAAAAAYMCATTAAAAATTCCTAAAACTTTTAATGAGCAACCCACTCTACATCAAAATGACGGAATTAGTATCTGTAAATACAGATCTAAGTATTTATACTTGCAGTCTAAATCAACACACACCATATTACAAATCAAGCAGTGAGGTCTATTCTAGATATGCATTCATGGATCCCTGTTGAGGGGTTTATTAAAAACAACAAAGAAAAGGCAGATTATTGTTAGCAAATTAGACCTTTATGGGAAAACATCTTAGAACACATAAATCATTAAAACACAGATAGATTTTTGAAAAATCATACAATAAAGGTCCTAAATTGGATAGCCAACACAAAGGAATACATAATATATCTCAGGAGACTTATGTGAAAATATTACTAGCAAAACACACAGGCACTAGAGACTGAAGGTAATGAAAAAGTAAAAGAGGAAATTAAGAAGGTACAGTATAAGCAGCACATAAACAAACAGCAAGGCCACACATTATTTGATACCAAGAAAAAGGATTCAATATCGCACACTGAACACCATCTATGCCATTCTCTGCTATATACTGAAAGCAACATTGTAGGRAAAAATGTAACTTTTAACCCTCCATTTACAGACCACATTACAGTTCTTACCAGAATCTCTATTCTGGCATTTCATGATTTATAAAAGCTTGACCTTGCAACTTCAAAGTTCTTTGGATACCGGGTTTTTTTTGCACAATAGCAAAAGACATACTCTATTTCCCTAAAAAACTTACACCTCACTTCACTTGCACATTATTTTCATCATACAAGAGATGCATATTAATGCAATCATACATAGCACGCATCATCTACATTTGTTTTCCTTATTGTATTAGAAGCATATTCTATGCCCAAACAACAAGCTTTTGAACGAGCCCAGAAAAYAAAGTCACATTTGCTTTGACACTAGCTCCCCCTCCAGACCAGCCTAGGATTATAGTAATGACTTTTTATTTTAATTCTGACTCTCCAACAAGATATAAACGCTCAAATCCAAACCTTCTTCATCTTTATCCATCTAAATGTCAATGAACAGACTGATCTGACAAACTATAAATAAAATTATCATTTATTATTTTTAACTGTGCATACATCCCAAGCCAGGGAGAATAATTTGGTTTAGAAAAGATCTGACAGAGAGCACCTCTTCCATACAGCCACACCAAGACAGATATGGACCAAAAATAAAATYTTTACACTATGAATGGTCTGCAATATTTGTAATACATAAGCATTCAGTTATACAATCAACTCTCTATTTGAAGTCTCAATAAAGCGATCATAAGCCATATGTCAAACCAAAAGAAAGCCCCTACGTGGTTTAGTACAACCTTTACTGATTCACTTGAGGTGAATTAGCTCCATTTCTACTCCAGCCAGCATAGCTAGTACGTTTTTTGTTCTCGTTCAAGCTAGAATTGGTATTTTTTCAGTTGTTCAGCTAATGAAACTGCCAAAATTTTTAACAAATGAAAACAAAGGACTAAAAGGGAAAGAAAATCACAACTTCCAACTGACCTTCTGTATTTCCCAGCTGTCAAATGTCCTGGCAGCTACATCTTTCAAAGAGTGAATTTGCCTGATTCAACAATCCAAGTTGTTCCTGCCTCTCACTCATTTTTGAGCTTCTCGTTCAGATAATATGAATAATTAATTACATTTTCAACTTTGAAAAAGGTTGTTTTATTACATGTCGTTGGGAAAATATGCAAATTTTGCAATATGCTAGTCAGCCAGCTTAAGGCACATATACATATCAAACCCTAACAAGCATCAATAAAACTTTGGCAGTAGGCATACCTGCAACAACCGGAGAAACAGACGCTACTGGAAATACATCAAAGCATAGTCACCAAATCCTCATAACTAGTTTTCTCTAATAATGAAAGGAATTGTAACAGCGTCMTCTGTAAAAGCACCCCAAGCTCCACCAGCACAGGCAATGCCGGCAACTTAATTGCTTTTAGAGTTCAGACTTTTCTGAAGTTTTCGACAACTTGTAGTGCAAAATTACTTGGAAAAATAAACAACATGAATACTATAAAGTCATGAAACTCTTTCACGCTCACTCTTTCTGAAGCACCTACTCCATTAACTTGCAGGCCTAGACATCAAGAGCCTGCACTGTGGCATAGAAAGAGTATGTGTGTATACATGTACACGTGTACACTGAAACATACAACTTTCAGCTGATGTGTATGTTTCAGTATACAAACACAGACACTGAGCAAGAGGYGCCAAGTGCTAACACAAGATCGCAGATAACGTAGAAGAATGTCCTGGACACAGGGCTGCTTTCCACATCCACGTACACACAGCATGTGCATCACAGTGTACCATGTGTGCGCTGAGGACAGCGGGTGCTGCCCCGAGCAAGTTACACTCTTTCAACAAGCAATTTTCCAGCTGACGTCTTTGCCCATAGGCTTSTTGGTAGAGCCTGCACCGCGGCACTATCGTTCCTCCTCTCGTACCCTCAACCGGGAGTTTCTGAAAGCAGAGGGTCACAGYCTGGTCTTTGCAGAGCATCAAGAGCACAGTGCGCACTACCTGAATACACGTGTGAAAGACCTGAACACACATCAAGCACTAACTCGCCCAGGGGTAAATCGCCAGAGCCTTACCAGCAACAGGATCCATGACTAAAGCACTTAATTGTGCCGAAATACAAGAAAGGTCGCCGTGGGAAAAGCCCCAGGCAACAACCCCAGGCAGCCGCCTAAGAGAAGCACTTCCTCGAGCTACCAGGCGGCCCTAGAGCTGAGGTCCGTCCTCAAAGCCCACGTTTCCCGTGTGTTTCTCCCTGCCAAAACCAGGCGTCCCCTCGGGCGGCCGCAGTTCCCGGGACAAGGAAAGTTGGAGGCCGCCCCCCGCGCCCTGCGGCGACACGCTCGGGACGGCGGCAGCCGCGCTCCGCGCTGCGGGAACCCCGCTGTCCGCGCCGCGCCCGGGGCAGCGCCGTACCCGGGGCTGGCACGCATCTCCCTCCCGGGCCCGGCTCGGCCCCGCCGCCGATGGTGATGCCCCGGCCGCCCGCCGAGCCGGCCTCCCCTTCGTYCGCCGCGCTCTACCGGCGGCCTCAGGCCCCGCCGGCGACCCCCAGGTGAGGGACCCCACGGGGACCCCGGCACACGGCGGGGACCGGCCCCCTCCCCGCCATCACCACCCCGGCGGCGGCGGTTGCCGAGCAGCGCCCGAGTCGCAAAAGCGGCGGCGCCAGGCCCGGGAAAGGGATGGGGAGAGCTGGCCGGAGCAGCCCCGTCTCGCCTCGGTACCCGCTTCCCCGCCGCCGCGGCTGCCGCTCAGCCCCCGCATCCCCTTACCCGAGTGCCGGCGCCGCCGGCGGAGCCCGCGCTGCCGTGCCGCGGGT